CAAGAAACAAAAGTCTTCCACTTCCGCCCATGCAACAACCGCAGCAGCAACAGCAGCAACAACAGCAACAACACTAACAGCGCCATCACCGCCACCGCCACCACCACCACCACCAACAACAACAGCAACTACAACTACAACCACAAGTAGAACGACGACGACAACCACAGCGACGACGACAACGACAACGGCAAGCAGCAACAACAACAACAACAACAACAGCAACAGCAGCAACAACAACAAGCCCAACAACAGCAACAGCAACACCAACAGCAACAGCCTACGACTACTACGATGACGACTACTACTACTACTACTACTACTACTGCTGCTGCCGTTATTACTCACGGCTGCTGCTGCTGCTAGTAGTAGTACTACTACTACTACTACTACTACTACTACTCCTACTCCTACTCCTACTCCTACTCCTACTCCTACTCCTACTACTACTACTACTACTACTACTACTACTACTACTCCTGCTCTGCTGCTGTTGCTTTGCTGCTGCTGCTGCTACTACTACTACTACTACTACTACTACTACTACTGCTGCGACGACGACGACGACGACGACGACGGCGGCTAAGACGACTACTACGACTACACAGGTTCGAATCACTGGCCGAAGGCCCGGCAAGTTGGAGACCCGGCTGCTGTCCGGCCGGCAGAAGGACGGGAAGGGGGTGTGTATTGAGCATATGAAGCCGATGTGAGGTTTGAATCTAGAGCTGTCTTGTGTGCTGCTTGGCTTGCGGAGGACTTACGAGAAGGCGAGTGTGTCGTGAACGTGGTGGAAGGAAAAGTCTTTAAGTGAGCCAGCGGGGAAGTTGTTTCCCTTTCTTGGGGTTCCTTTCGCGACCTCGATTGATTAAGCAAGCTCATGAGTTGATGTGACGAGCACCGTCAGACGGGAACCCATTAGCTTATTTTAACCTCGTAGGTCGGCACAGACAGTACAGTCTGCCTCAACAGAAGACAGATGCGAAGCTTTGCTTCGTGTGAAATCAGGAATGCCCACGCTGCGCGTTTGGTGCACCATCCAAAACATGTTAATGGTTAATGTTGCCTTCGGAAGCCCAAAGGTCGGAGTTGTGGGAGGCGGGAGGCAGCCCTTTTTGCCGGCAGATCAAACAACTTGCTGAACTTTCGCAAGCCTCAGGTGTCCACCGGGCGATGTGCTTCCACAGGCAAGTTATGCAGCTTTCCCTTCCACATGCAAGGTTGCATGATGCTGGCCTGAACTATCTAGCGTGTGCCATTCCAAGGAAGAGGTCGAGGGTCGAGAGAAGCCATATCACTGGTTGAGGGCTCTTCCATGTCTGCCTGCCTTGCGCTGTTCACTTCCCCAAAAGTTTTAGAGGCATGGCGTGGACATGCGTGGCACTTCCCAGAGCGTCAATTATGTTGCTGCGTTTGGCTTTGGCTCTTTGGGGCAGGCACCGCTGAGCAGCGCCTCCTGAGCAAGGAGGAGTTCGAGTCCCTTTCGAAAACCGGGTCGTCCCTTGCCTGCAGGAGGTCTCTATATGTAAACTATTGTAAACTGAGTGGCAGACATGGACCGCCCCAGAAATGCTCCCCCATGAGTGCTTTACATGGAAGGAGCTAAACAACCATCCAGGGCATCTCACGGCCCTGTCCCGAGGCTTGCGGTCTCCTACACCCCTAGCGGCGAGGACTTGCAGGAGGTTCGGCGCAGATGCAGGGACGCACCGGCGACTGGCGGTTTGGAGATGTTTGTCAGAAGCCACGATCCCGCATGACCCTGCTACCCTCGAGCTATGAGCAAGTGCTGCACTTTGGGAACCTGAACAACTGTTCATTCCTTTGCGCGAACCAGGTGGACGTTGGCCTTCCTGCTATGTCCGTTCTCGCCTCCGTCCAGGATCCACCGCTGTGGGCTGGATTTGTAGCATAACCAGGGGACCGTTCTTCCTGAGTGGACTGGCTGCTTCTGAGGCTCGGGCCTTCGAGAGCTTTTGCATTCTATGGACACAGGGCGGTTGGAGAGGTGTGCATCTGGTTGATTTCCGGTATATTCTGTTCCTGTGAACGCCCGCAGAAGCCTTTTCAGGGTGTGGAAGTCAAGGTCTTCATTGAACCTCTGTCGGCTGTCTTCAGGTCGAAGGCCAGTACGCGTGATCGGCTCTAGCTCTGCCCAATAGTCATGTCATGTTCTCGCTGCCCATGTCTGGTGCCGTGAGCACATTTCGCTTGTAGTGCTACCAACTAAGAGAGATTCTACTTTGAATGACATTGTTCCTGGTGACCATGTGACCATGTTGCTACTCGTCCTGTCTTGTAGACGATCTTCAGACCGAAAGCTCAAGACCGCAATTTGTTCGATTTACGCGCGCTTTTGCCAGCCTCGCAGCCTCGCAGCCGGTAGAAAGCGTTTTCTGCATGGGACTCTGCCTGGCCTGGCCTTCGACTGCCGTGGCCTCGATTCTTCAGAGCAGGTCGCAAATGGAGGGGCCCGCCGGCTGGAGGGCACCTTTTAAACTTTGCAGGGGGCGTCTCTGTCCGGAATGATGCCACCGGATCCATCTGCAGGATTCTAGATTTCGCTCTGGCTGCATGAGCTTCAAGCACAAACAAAACATCTGGCAACGCAATGACTGGTGACTATGAATCTCCGCACAGTAGCACGAGAGTTCTGCCTTCCAGGACACCCCCTACACTGGCATGGTTTTGTGGGCAAGACCGTTAGCCGAATCCCCAGGCCCGAAACGACTTAGACTGCCCACTACGCCGGCATATTCGACAAATTGTGCCTGCTGCTTCCATCGCCATGGCATACCCTTGTACATGCAGCTGCTCCTGTGGCTGGTGCCTGCACTGCGAGATGTAGCTTCGGTAGGCCATGTTCACAGAGCTTGTCAGAGCTTCACAACTGCACAATGAACCGCCGGCTTCTCGCACCTTCATTCCGATGGGCCTGTGCATGCCTGTGCCAAGCAGCAGAGCTCAATAAGAAGCCAGAGAGGGCCCGGGCCCGGACCTGCCTCGAGGTACCCTCCGGTCCAGGTGGAAGGCGCTCCCGCGGATGCTTGGTGGAAGGAGGCCGCGGAGCTCTGGTGTTGGAAATGCGTGCATCAAATACGCAACATGAAGTCAGATCGGCGGTGCCCAACACTGCAGGGTATCTGTCCTACAGGAATCGGTGAATCCGAGCAGCAGAGCGAGCCGGGTTCGGCTTCCTGGATTCTCTGCACTCAGGCCATCCGCCACGAGACAGAGAATCGCTGGCACCTGGGACTACGCTGTCGTTGGCTGCATGTTCACACCACATGAATCATATAATTGCTTGGATGCCCTTTCCGGAATTCGGTTAACTTTTGTCACTCCTGAGCTGTGAGCTTTCGTTCGAGCAGAGGTACGTGCGCCAGCTGCCGGGCGCCTGGGCGGCCACTTTCGGCGGCTCTCAGGTGGCGAGTTCCTCTGCAATGTCAAGTCGAAGGGATCAGAGAGAACTGCTCAGGTGGGCGAACTCATCAGGCACCAGGTGGAGCCTGCGTCGGACCGCTCGTTCCGCCCCTTCGGCCGGCGGGTTCTGGCAGAGCCGCGGGAAAGCGAAGAATTCAAGAAGGTTATGACGTGGGTAGACCAGGAGTCTGAGCCGAGAGCACGGCCGGCTCCGAGCCAGCCCTGTCAGGCCTGTCAGCCCTGCGCCCCCACTACACCTACACCAGCCGCACACGTGCCCCCGCCGGCTGTACCCCTGTCGGCGCCAGCGCCGACGCCAGCTGCTACGGCTCCGGCAGGTTTGCCGTCTTCCTTCTCAGCTTGTGGCGCAGAGCCCGCCACGCCAACAGCACCCGGAGCGCCAGTGCCGGCGCAGGTGGTGCGACCGCCGATCCCCGAGGTACCACCTGGGATGCGACTGGAGCCGGTGACCTTTGTGCAGACGGCGGAGCCAGTCTCTCGAGAAGTTGCAAGCGCGGAAGTGCAACCATCTCCCTCCTTAGCCCCTGGGGCTGGAGTGACAGACGAAAAGGACCGGCTGGATGTGATTATGCGATGGTGTTGAATGTTCAGCTTTTATGTTGATGGTCTATGTCTGGGGCCATAATAAGAATAGAGATGCCAAGCTCCAGGCTTCTGATGGACTGAGTTTGGCATCAGTCTGAAAGGTCGCAACATGAGTCGCCAGTATTGCTGCCCTTGGGACACAACAAGCTGATTCTTCTGTATAGACTCGTGTAGATAGACTGTTTCGCTCCATCCAGTGCCGGTGTTTCTGGAGATGGGTTCCGGAGGGTTCGGGCTTCGACAGCACTGAAAAGGCAGAGATGGGTCTGCAGCTCGGTTTGGTTGACATCGGACGAGCGCGAATGCAGCTCGTGGAAGCAGCTTCGGGTGTGCAAACGCGTTGTCGGGTTATGTCCTGGGGAGGTCCGTGCTGGCAAGGGTCGCCGTGTTCTCGGTTGGACGAGCCTGCTAGAAAGATTGCAAAGAATACGATTTTGAATGGTTTTGAAGTGTTGGTAACACTACGATCAGCGTCTCATCCTTTTTTCTCGCCTCTACCGAGATCGCCGATTGGCCTCGGAAAGCTCGGCTCTGTGGTCTTGCGAATTCCTGCCTCCTCCATCGGAACATGCGTCGTCTGAGTGTATTTTCCTGGGGGGGGGCTGTCTTTGCATGGGTGCTTGTGGCTGCTGATGGAAGGTGCTGAGGTAGACGTCTTTTCTGAGCTGCAGCTCTCTTCGGCCTCTAATTTTGTGACATCCCATCTTGAACAGTTGGCACGGAGTGCTAAAGTTCCGCTCAATCTGCCAGGACTCGACGCTGGTTCCGGGAGACTTCCAACTCCACCCAGCTGCAGCCAGCGTGGGGCAGGCGATTTCTGGCTTTTCATAGCCAGTCAAACTTCATTCCAGCAGCAAGGCTACAAGAAGACACCTTCTCAGACTCAAGCGCAGCTCAAGTCGCTCATTTCTGGCAACGAAGTTCAGATCGGGGGAAGCCGCACAACGCCGAAGCCTCCTACGCGCTCCGCCTCTGAAGGCCACAAAAGAGGCTCTGGGCGCCAAGCTCGGAGTTGTGCAGGCTGCAGCCAAGCTGAAGGCAGGCGGTTTAGGTTTAGGATTTAGGGTTTAGGGTTTAGGATCCTGTCGCAGTTTTCCGTGACATTCCACGGGTAGGAAGTGCTGTTCGTGAGCCGCCAGGTAAGCTCTGGGCGAAAGGACCGCTTCGCTCCAGCGCTAGGTCGTCCTACGGGTTCAGAGTTGAAGGGCACTCGTACCACGGGAAGTGTACCCAAGGCTCAGCACAATGTGTCCAGCTTGATCACAGCACTCCGAATGATGTGCTTGTCAAGCGTCGACAGCCAGTCTTCACTTGTGAATGCGTGACGTCCTGCGTTCACGAGGAAACCAGGGAAAAGTCGAAGGGCCGCATGCAGGGGCGGCAGAAAGAGGCCATCCGTGAACCCGTCTTGCCTTGCTGGCCTTGCGCATGCAGTAGACTGGTGGCGAAGGCTGTGCCGCATGCATTTGCTCCCTGAAGCTTCTCGGTGCTGGGCGCCGCCGACAGGCCGAAGATCAATGGATCAGCCGGCAGAAGCCAAAGCCAGAGTCCCGTCACAGCTACAATGCCAACAGCAGCTTGCAAGCCATGGAGCATTCGCAAGAAGCGTGGCACTAGCAATAGTAAGGGCTATGCATGCATCTACACACTGCAGTACTACTGCTCCTGCTCCTGCTCCGACCCCTACCCTGCCCCTACCCCTACCCCAACTGACTGGCAGAAGTGCCTTTGCATCTTTTGCACTTTTGCCAATGTCATCCGATGTTTGGCTTCCTGTGACTGGACGCTGACAGTGCGTACCAACACAGCAACAACTCCATCTACAGTCAGCGCGACGGTCAACATTGCCAAACTGCCGAAAAAATCAGTATTTTTCTGGTCTCGACACTAGGAAGCTAAAATCTCGTGTTTTTCCTTTCAAACGAGAGCATACATGCAAGCTCCCAACACTACACTCAGCGCTGCCAAAAATGCTGGAAACGTTTGCACTTGCTGTTCTGGACATTAAGAAGCCAAACAGACTTATATTTTATACAACAGTGAATTGTGGCATCTGCAGGTTTTTCAGTGTTTGGCTCTGTTGACTGTAGTGTTAGCTGTTGACTGTCATTTTGAACGTGTTTGCGCCACCTTGGAAAACTGCATCCAAGCAAATGCCGTCGAAGCCACCAAAACGGCGGGGCAGCTGCCACTCCTGGTGCTGCTACCACTGCTGCTTGCTGCTACGTCGACTACTACTCCTACGACGACGACTACTACTACTGCTACTGCTACTGCTACTGCTACTGCAACAACAACAACAACTGCTGCTGCTGCTACTACTACTACTACCACCACCACCACCACCACGACTACTACTACTACTACTACTACTACTGCTACTACTGCTACTACTGCTGCTGCCACTGCTGCTGATGATGCTGCTACTACTACTACTACTACTACTACAACTGCTACTACTACAACTGCTACTACTACTACTACTCCTGCTACTACTACTACTACTACTACTACTACTACTACTGTGCATTCGGCAAATCTTGCACAGCTTTTAAATTTTGTTATGTAGCTTCACTCCGTGCCCCCTTCTTAACATGGCTATGAACACGCGGTTTTACAAAATTGTTTCAACGCCACAAATCTTGCACCGCCCCAAGAGATCTGTCGTTAATGTTAAGAGGGTGCGGGGTTGTTGCTTGGATGTGTACCCGAAACAAGGTGCAAGATTTCCTCCATTCATCCATCGTAATTACTACTACTACTGCTACTACTGCTGCTGCTGCTGCTGCTGCTGCTGCTACTGCTACAGCTACAGCTACAGCTACAGCTACAGCTACTCCTACTACTACTACTACTACTACTACTAGTACTACTAGTACTACTAGTACTACTACTGCTACTACTAGTACTACTACTACTACTACTACTACTACTACTACTACTACTCGACTACTACTACTACCACTACTACTACTACTACTACTACTACTACTGCTGCTACTACTACTACTACTACGACGACTACTGCTACTGCTACGGCTACTGCTACTGCTATCGCTACTCGTACTCATACTCATACTCCTGCTGTTCTTTGTACTACTACTACTACTACTACTACTACTACTACTATTACTACTACTACTCCTGCTGCTGCTGCTACTACTACTACTACTACACCTGCAACTACTCCTATAGTAGCTAGTAGTTATGTGCTAGTAGTCGCCGTCGTAATAGTAGTAGTAGTAGTAGTAGTAGTAGTAG